AAAACAGCAGCGCAGAGTTAAAATTAATTACGATTATAGTTAAGTTTAATAGATTTAAAATGAAAAAACGTTTGATGCTGTCTGAATAACTGATCATTTATCTGTAACATGGACGCTATATTTAGTTATGAAAATAGACCAACATTTTTTTGGTAATAAGTGAAATCTATGTATATTTATGTGTCATGTAAGGCTAGCACAATAAAAGGTTAATTTCACATACATATAGGGTTATGTATTTTAACAAAGCAATTGAGCTCGGCTTCAAATCACTAACAAATAGTATAAATTATCGTCAACAGCCTTTAATCGTCCACTGCTGGACATACGCCTCTCCTTAGAAAGGAGGTTTTGGCCTACTATACCACGCTGGCCAGACGGGTTGGTATTCTTAATCACCACACGGTATTGTATAAATTATGTATCTTACAAAATGCTTATAAAATTTAAATACGTCAAAATTAATTATTAAGTTTAACTTTCAATAATTTAAGATATTAACACACTTTGTCCATATCCTTGAGAACTGTAGTACAATAGCAGAGCATATATCGAATAAATAATCGATATGAAATATCGTCGAACTACAAAACTGATTTAATCGACTAATACATTTTTGATATTTATGGTAACCAATAAAAAACCCACATAAATACTACACGGAAATCACAGCCTTAAAACATTTACGGGTAGGTCGTAGGTACAATATATCCAGCTATCAACCACCATATCGTATCTTCAATGTTAATAGTCTTTGTCAAATTAATGTTACTCAGGTAACCGAATTACCCAGTCGTTTTAAGCATAAACAAAACCGAAAGAGGGAGGGGGTTGGACGTAAAATTTATACGCGTACGATCACAACCAACTGAAAGTTTTATAGCCAGGGTGGGCACAAAACTGGGGTTTTTACCTTATAGTAATATTTCATCGGGGACTTTATTAGCTGTAATGCGGAGGGCATTTGTTAACGAGCAATTTTAATACGCGTCGGCTTTTTTTTTGTTATGAGAATTTTCCTTTCTGGATTCGGTGTATATGTTAATTTGAGAATGGTTTATCAGTTTATTAAATGATTAAGTGTGAAATATAACATCATATAGAGTTAAAAGACAATGTTGTTCAAAATTTTTAAATAAATACAGTTATTTAAAGTTTTCGTATGATTAAAAGTGTAGTTTTAGTCTCAAGTGTCAGTGAAAGAATCTAGAAAATAAAAGACATAAACGCTTAGTTAACTAGAGTTGTAAAATTTCTAAGTAAATGAAATCCTAATATAAATGAAATAATAATATCTGACCTATTTAGAAACTCTATCCACTGAAAGGAGAAATACCTAGAAATAAATCACAGAATTCCTAAATTAAACTCGTGTCTGTTAATCACACACTGATATACCAGATATTTTCAATTCTTTTTTTTGGATTTTATAAACTTACGAACATAAAAATACAGTTAGACTAAACATTTTCAATAGTCAACAGGCATTTGTTTTCAATATTAAAACCGAACTGAACTTGAATTCCTTATCTATATATATTTATTATTATTTTCTTAAATCACAAAAGGGGCAACCCTAACACCAACACATATATATATAACCCTAAAGTGTAACACAAATATGGCCCTAGAGTGTAAGTGTTAATAAAACTATTACTTTAGTGCTCCACACTATATTAACACCCGTTATAAACATAACAATAGGGTCACTAAGTCCGAACACGACGACGAACACTTAGCCAAAGGATCTTATAAGCGGTAACAATTTTAAAAATAACATTAATATTTTTGAAGTGAAAACTTGTTTTTAAACAACAAACAAAAGAAAGTATTTCATGGGCAAATACTATTGAACTCCCGACACTGTTACCGTTACCGTCGCTAAAACCTCTGTTGAAGTGAAAACTTCTTTATACGCGTTGGGTATTTTTTGAGATGGGAAATAACAATTGAACTAACGATACTGTTACCGTTACCGACACCTCTGTGTACTTATAAGTTTTCACTTCTGTCGGCACTCCTAGAGGGGCCACTGTTTTTTTAATGGTGTATAGTGACTTCTACCACTTATGAACTCTCGGTGAAAAGCAAAGAAGGATTTGCTTAGTATCAGGGTTTTCTGTGCCCGTGTCATCACTTCAGTCGAGCCGGTTTTTTTTTAAATTAAGGCATAACATTTATTTTCAAACTGACTAATTAAACTTCAAAATTGACCGATTGAAAGCTTTCGTACGAGAAAGGGATGAAATGAATGAAACAATGAGTTTTAATACCATGATTGGTATGTAAAGAAAAAAAAGCCTTTGAATTACCATCAAATTTATAATGCATTGCCATAAAATGTGCACTAACACCAGGAAACACTTTTTCAAAGGAAAGAAAACAAAGTTTTTTTAAGGTTTTTCAAGTTAAATCAACTATTTTTCAGAGGGCTGAGTGCAAGTTTATTTCACATCGACTCGCTGTCGACGGCGAGCGCGTTTAGCGTTGCGATTGGTGGAGATTTCAGTGCGGGCCAATCGTAGCGCCGTACGCGGTTACCGTGACGATCGAGTAGAAGTGAAATAAACTCGCACTTGGCCCTTAGAACACATAACGTTTCTAACCTTGACCACTTCGTGACACCACATATTGCCACTTAATCATTGTAAAAATTATACGATTATACAAATTATTTCTGACCCTACGGTTTTATTACATGTTTAGTGATGGGGACCACAAGTGTCCCAGAATATATACCAATCGAATATCAGTTGAAACTTTTGTTAGCCATCCGAGTGGTCCAACTTCCATCTTGAATACTGTGAATTAACAGTACCACGAACAAAAACTATTGATTTGCAAAGCACGAGACACACCACTGATGTTGTAATTATGTGGCATTGGGTGGTTGCAAATGGTATGGTGGTGGTATTAGGCATTGGAGAAATCCTGTATCACCATCTTCCTGTCTTTTGTCCAATGTTCTTTGCGATCAGCGTAATATTGCAGTGTTTTCATGACTATCTTTGGTGGACGGGACGGTAAAAATTGTGGCAAAAGAGGCAAGCAAGGTTGGCCAACGGGATCGAGACACAGCTGGAAGATGAAGGCGTATTTTTGTTCTGTGATTGGCACCTCCAAGTACCTTATACTTCCTCAAACATAATTATTTTTTGAGAGGGGTTTGCGCCCTAATAGAACCATAAAAACCAAGGTACATTATACTATCATCAGATAAACACCAACCTCTGGTATGGCATTCGTAGAAACCGATAAAAGGACCCGCTGATAAAAAAGGGGGGTGCCAACTAAATGCGTTTGCTACTTAAAGCAACTTATCGCAGACTAATTTAATATTTTTATAGCACACTTTTATATTTATGAATAATTAAAATTCGTCCATTTCTGCTTATCTTATTCTGTGTAAGTAATTAATAAACTTAATGTAGCCTTTTATAAGGGAAATAGGGTAGTTTTTTATGTTGAAATAATGTAATTAATTAAAATGAATTTGGGTAAATGTGGGCTTATTAAATTTGTCGCATAAGTTGCTATGCAGAGTTTTGGAACACGTGTATTATTAGGTCTGGCAAGAAATTTCTTAGCCTTGTAAGTCGACCATACCTACAGAAGGGTTAGTTAAACGGTATAAGCATTACAAGTTCTTAATTGCTATTCGATTCAAAGTTTGTTTGCGTATTAGAAATTAATTATGGCTTCGTTTAACTTTGAAAGAAAAAATCGGGACGTGAGGTGTGTACCTGAACTTTTCTAAGTTAGATATAACCTTTGTAGTATTAACAGCAATATTATTATCAGTAGTGGGAAAACATGAAAAAAGACTTCTTGGACAGAACATGTTAAAAACAGGGCTGATAATGATTAACTTCGTATGGCGACCAATGAGTCGAAGATATTACTCCACTAAGCTTCTAGACGGCCGTTAGAATGACGTACTATGCAGAAGTCATTGAAGGTTACTTTCAAATAAATAAAGTATAGGGGAGGGTAAACATTATGTCGGGGCACCAGGGACTTCCTTTCTAGGGTATACCTGGTTCCCCGGCTATTAGTACCCGAGACGGCGTGCGGGTTTAGTCGGTTCGAGTCCGACATGCCACCGATAAATGGTATCCGAGGGGACTTCCGCACGGAAAAAGAAAAAAAAAAGGGGGAGGGTAAACAATATTGAACCGGTGCCTAACAAAATGGCGGAGTATTAGTGGCGCTGCTAGCGCTCCTTTTTTTGTTGCTAGTGTAAAAAAATAGTGCCATTTTGGTAGAAATACAGAAGTGGTTCAATTTAAGCACCGGTTCAATATTGGTTACTGTCTCCTATGGCTCTCTTAGGAGCTTTGATTACGGGAGTACGTGGTTTTTTACTTGTACTTGGTGTTTATAAGCTTGTCTTATGGTTTCTTTTATGGAATAGGGAGGAAAACGAGCATACGGGTCACTTGAAGGTAAGTTAGTCACTTACCTGTAACTTCAGAGTCATAGGTGTCAAAGTATCAAAAGGGGACAACGCGTTTTGAGTCCTATCGCCCCTCCCCTCAGATTCAGGGAGAAGGGGTTACCTCATTCACTCAGTGAAAAGCAACGAAAGGATTCCTTTACCCCGGTTTACTGTGAGGCCATGGCACCACTCCAGTCGAGCTGGTCCATTTGTGTCAAAGCATGGCTCCCCTACGTCCACAGATTAGAAGTGAGTTACTACCAGATTATTCCCTTCTTCAGATTAGCCTATGGTTGTACCGGAAACTAGCACATATGACCAAAACAAACTCTTAAGTCTTACTCTTTCGTATAGACTGGCCATTCCTGGTATTTCCTCAGTACCACTCCTAAGCTGGTAAAGGTCGAAGCATGTTACATGGTCTATGATCTTACTTAAAGAATACTCCATCTAATACAAAAATAGTTTTTCGAATTTGCCTAGTAGTTTCAGAGATAACGAGTTTTAACAAACAAACAAAAAGGCCTTCAGATTTATTATGATAATGTATATGGGAACATACCTGATGGAAGCCTAAGTAACTCTCGATGCTGTGGGTCGCGAAGAACACCTCGCCTTCACACGTTAAGATCATCAAGAAACCATTGAGTGCCTGAAACAACACATTAATAACATTTTAATATAATGCTGAAGGAAATTTATTTATTTTATTTATTTATTTATCTTTATGCACTTTTGTACATCGGCGGACTTAATGCCCAGGGCATTCTCTTCCAGTCAACCTTTGGGTGATGTAGAAATCTTGTAAGGTAGGTGCACAGAGGTTACATCATAATATCAAATGTACAATGAAAATAAATACAGTTCACTACATATATAAACATACACACACATACTACACCTACACATCATAAATACGCATAGATACACATTATAATACTATATAACCCCCGATGCAAAAAGAGGGGTGTTGTAAGTTTGACGTGTCTGTGTGTCTGTCTGTGGCATCGTACCTCTTTAACAAATGGATGGTTCTTGATATATATAGATAGGTTTGTGAAGATCATCAGCTGGTTTCTTAGTTGATTGTACACAACTCCCATTGATTTGAAATTTGGTGACTGTTACGTTAGTGCTGTTTTCATGAGATGGTAACCTTGACCTGATGCTGCAGATCAATTTTGGATCGACCCTGGTGTCGGGGGTGTTCTAAATTATCAGTTCGAATTTATTGAAAAGTATTCTTATTCAAATCTGAGGCATTAAGGATACAATCAGAAAATATACTAAACTACAGGTTTAAAGAACTTTTTTTAATACTCAAAGACGTTACCGTCCACTTAGTGAGCATAATATAAAAATAAACAAAGGAATAACGAGGAACAGCGATCGTAGATTTCTAAATCAATGACTTAAAAAAAAACGTTAAGAAAACAGATTGCATTGTCCTATGTACTCACACGAAATTATATTTTGTACATATTATATTTAACTATTATATCTAATAAATATTATTACTTTATTCAATCTATAAGTAGCTTTAAACACAAATGCCTTGTTTTTAATTTGTCATATCGCTAGCAAGAGCATAAATTATTACAATTTTCATAGATTCAAAATCAGTTACTATACTTGTGGTTGATGATGGCGACCCCATTATTTATATTTACTACAATTATATAAGCCCCCTGCGAGTGGGCAAGCCGATGCGGGCTAGCATCGAAAGACATACCAGTGCCTTAAATCTGCTTTTTTATGTTAACGCCAAGCCACTGTCATTCCATTGTCACGCTATTGAGATGCCAATAACATCGGTCAAAATATCGGTATTCTACTAACATAAAATTCAAAGTGTCACTAGACTGTCGATATAGTAATATACATGTAGGTCATCAAGTATGGTGATATCAACAACATTGCCATATCATGAAAATTCAATATTTCATTTTCTTACAAATTTAAAATGTACCGTTTACCAAACTATTACCAAGACATCGACGACATTTATATCAGTGACAAGTCATTGGGAGGCCATTGATCTTACATAGTTAGTAGAATTAGAAAAGAGCTAAACTATTCCGACGACATTCCATCGACAGTCTATTGATACAATACTAAAACAGCAGAATTGAGGCCCTGATCAACAGTACACACTGGAGAAGAGCCTCGTTAAAAGCACCCGTAACTAGCGAGTAAGTGTGTGTACGTATTATTTTTATGTTCTTACATAAAAATAATACGTACACACACTTACTCGCCTGGCCTGTTGGCCTAGGGACTCTTGACTGCTGAGTCGGAGGTTGTAGGTTCGATTCCCGCCAAGGACAAATAATTGTATGATGAGCACGATCATTTGTTTTTTGTCTGGGTGTAATTTATCTATAATATGGATGTATTTAGAAATATATAAGTATGTTTATCAGCAGTCTGGTTTTATTTGTACATGCTCTGCTTAGTTTGGGACTAGCTTATATTATTACTTATCTTTGGAATTAAAAGTTGCATTACTTTTGTAAGTCTGTGCAATATCAAATTTATTTCTACAAAACAAAAACAATCTACTCGTAGTTACTTAAATCGATGCCAGCAATTTGGAAGTAAAACTTTGCTTCCAAATCAGAGTTGACATCGCACTGAAATTATTCTGCCAGCGGCAATAAACTGTTCGTAAAGTTTGTCGCAGTTTTTCGTACTTTTCGTAGTTTCGTGGGTATTTCCTGAAGTGACGGGCGGTGAAATACAGTTCAAGTTAGGCGAGTAACAGTGAACGCGCACGTTTTCATTGCCGTCTGTATTAAATTTATATTGACTACCGGACGGCATAGTGGTTTGTGTAACGGACTGCTATTCCAAAGGTCGCCGGTTCGATTCCCGCTCAAGTCAAACATTTGTGTGCATGAAAATTTAATGTTTGATTTGGTCTAGGTGTTTCTATTTATAATATGTATGTATTTCCAAAAAAAGTACATATGTATTTATATCAGTTGTCTAGTACCTATAGTACAAGCTCTGCTTAGTTTGGGACTAGATGGCGTTTTAAAATATATTATATTATTATTATATATTAAATAAATAAAAAAAATGATAGATTTTTTTAAATTGACTTTTATTGACGGTAGAAATGCATTTTCTCAGCACGATAAAAGGTCGCGGTCATAAGTCCAGTAGCACTTTTACGAAGTTATAGCATTATAACTAGTTGGACTTAGGACCTTCTTCTATAAACGTATAACACACACACATACACAGACTACATGCGTGTGATTATAGTAACTAATTGAACGTCAAATGATTCTTTTTATTTTTTAGTCATTTTAAAGCAGTAGTCACTAAAACTTGAGGGTAGATTTGAAACAAAATAAATTTACCGCCTGCAATTGTTGTTATAACATCGGTTGGTAAAATCAGTTATTGCTACTGGTGGTGTTGATATTGAATATCTGTATTCAAAAAGCGAGGCAATATTAGAAAAAATGCAACTAAATATTAGTATTGAAGCCAAGACCAACATTATAGTTTTTCTGGGTACTTGTATGAGCAAGGATCACTAATAAATAATAATTTAGTGTTACAGGTATAAATTATAATTAGATATGCTTTTAATTTCATCCTAAGGCACAGTAACCGAAAAATTACAAATATATATAATTTCAATTTCACTTTAAACTAGATTCTTTTTCTTTCTTTCTCGACATGACGTCATATACATAGATATTTTTTCTAAATTTGAAAAATATGTTATGTTTAAAAAAAGTCGTACCGTCCTACAATGGAACCGCGAAAAACTTACCAGACAACATAAAATAAGAACACGGAAGCCCCATTATTTATAACATCGATACTTACCATCGATTTATTAATGTATTAACTAACCATTTGTATTTTATTTATGAATGGTTTATTTAGCCCATCACTTTTATAAGAGGGTTTCTTTAAATCTGTCAATAACTGATTGCATTATCAGGTTATACTGTATCGGTTTTACCCCAGGAGGATGTTGGGTACAAACCAAGAACGAACGTATGTTTGACGGACCTTTTGAGTGGGGTCACTACCCACTGCTGACAACAGGTCGCTGGACACGGAGGAATCATTGTATGATGAGCACCATTATTTGTTCTGTGTCTGGTTTTAGTTAAATTATCTATAATATGTATGTATTTAGAAATATTTAAGTATGTTTATCAATAGTCTGGTTAACATAGCACAGGCACTGCTTAGTTTGAGATCAGACGGCCGTATGTGAGTTATTATTATAAACCCGGTGTGAGAAATTATCGTAGAGTTCTGTACATAGTATTTAGTGTGTGTAACGACGACGATTCCGAATAGATGTTCTAGTGCGAGTTTATTTCACATCTATTGGATCCTCACGGTGATCGCGTTCGTCGTCGTGATTGGCCCGCGCTGAACTCTACACCAATCACAGCTCCTAGTGTAAGTTTATTTCACATCAACTCGCTCTCGACAGCGAGCGCGTTCGGCGTAGCAATGCCAAAGCCAAACGCGGTCACCGTGACGTTCGAGTAGATGTGATATCAACTCGCACTTGGGTCTCACAGCACCGAACGCGTTCGCTGTCGAGAGCGAGTGAAATAAACTTGCACTAGCCTTTTAAAACACAGTTAATGACACTTTTAACTATAAATTCCCGTTCTTTGTCAGATGTTGAACTTTCCAATGATAAAAAAATAGTATCAGAAGTACTTGTGTACTAATAATACAGGTCGCTTATCACCTTTTGAAAAGTTACTATACATTTGTAATTCAGACAGCTTTGACTATCGATGTAACACCTTTTAATGACATACAATTATGTTTTACCCTTTAATAAATGAGTAACTTATCAACTTTATTACTTGGTTCAACTAAAACACTTGTACACCGTTTGATAAGAGCTTCACCTGTTCTATATATGTATGTGTATATGTTTTAGTCAACATTCTTAATTAAGCTAAAAACTGGTCCGTTAGTCTAGTGGTTAGTGACCTTCACTGCTAAGCTAGGGGTCGCGGGTTGGATGCCCACTTTTGACAAATATTTGAGTGATGAAGTGATGAGCATAATCATTTGTTCTGGGTGTAACTTATCTATAATATATATGGATTTAGAAATATATAAGAATGTTTACGAGGCTCGAAACCGGTCTTCTGCCCCATCCAGGTCATATAGGACACTAAAGAGAAATAGACGTCATTGTCAGATGGACATTTGAAATTTATGAACTCCTCTTTTGAAGTCGGGTTTTTTTTTATGAAATGCGGGGCAAACGAGCAGACAGATCACCTGATGGTAAGTGACATAAGTGTCACAAGTGCGTTGCTGCCTTTTAAGCCTCCCTTCTAGAATCAAGGGAAGGGAGGTTTGAGTTTTAACCTCACCTGAATTCGTATGGGTTCGTGAGACTCATAAACCTATTCAGAATTTCATTTCAAACTACGCAGGACAACAGCACTGCAAAGAGGAGGACTTGACCTGCACCTGCATTATTATTAAACGATTCCTGGGATTGCTTGGTTGTTGAGTTGATTGATTGGTTAAATGAATTCTCTCTTCCTTTATCGAACTTTCGCGATGTTTCAATACACTTTCCCCACAACAAAAGTCTTGGGTTAAATTCTTGAAGAGGTAGAACGAGAGTGCTTATAACAGCAGTATATGATACTATTTTTGTTATTGACTTGTTTACTTACCTATCAACTTAGTATAAACAACAACCTTTAATCAAAAAACTTACAAGATTTATTTTTGTACGTAATTAAATCGAATATAACGCACCATAACTTGGTAACGTCCATAAAATTTAAAAGTCTCCAATGCCGTAAGGAGGTTTTGTTGTGCCCCTGAGGGTACAAGGTCACGTGAAGGTTACCCATAAAAAGTTACGGTGCACATAAGAAACTTCCTTATTGTTTGCAATTATTTTGCTTGGAGTAAGTTGGATTTTACTAAAAATGTTATGCTTTTATGGTACCAATAAAATATTAAATCAATAAAATCCTCTGTGAAATTTTAGTTTTTAAGCAGATACTGAAATGAAGTAGAGAGTACTTCTTCTAGGTCTACCCTTAGACTAGCTACTAGAGCGGTAAAAAGTAGCGTGAAGAGGTAACAGACAAACAGACAGACATACAAAAAGTCAGACAGTCAGACACATATATATATATATATATATATATAACTATTCATCCTTCCAAGTGATGAATTTGATGTAAAGGTTGGTGTGCACCAGTGTTCCGCACTCAGTCCTCCGCTATTTATGCATGGGACATCCTATATGCGGACGACGTCGTAATCATCAGTGAAGATGTGAACAACCTACAGCAGATTTAAAAAAAATGGAGGGAAGCACTGGAAACATCAGGTTTGCGAATAAGCAGAGAGAAGATCGAGACATGCATTGCAACTTTAGTGGCGTCAACAGCAAACACACCATCTGTCTGTTGATGATGATTTGGACTGTTAAAGGCTGTTGGTGATGATGATGATGACGGATTTTTTTAAAAATAATTCTATTATAGGTATTAGATGTAATACCTGGATTAGTGAGTAACCTGTAACTAAGTCGAAGGTATGCCTTGATGTAGTTACATGATACTCACAAATACATACCAATAAGCTTTAATAATAAGTTTAGTCTCCAATCTTTTGCTCCTTGAATAAACTACCAATTTTCTAATATTAATTCGCGAAATGTGGGCGTCTAGTACTTCTCTGTTTTACAGGCGTGAATATAATAATAATAATATTCTAACACAATCACACAACGCCATCTAGTCCCAAACTAAGCAAAGCTTGTACTATGGGTACTACACAACTGATATAAATACATATATACTTTTTTTTTTGTAAATACATACATATTATACATAGAAACACCCAGACCAGACTTGAGCGGGATTCGAACGCGCGACCTTTGGAATAGCAGTCCGTTACACAAACCACTACGCCATTCGTCGTCGTTGCGTACGTACATATATATAATATGTACGTAGGCAACATGTGTATGTACTGCGTTGGTATGTATGTGGATATATAAATATTAATACCTGTAAGAACATTTCACCGTCAGGCATGATGTGGTCGTACGGTGAGTGTTCTCTTCTGTGCCCGTGGATGTCTTCTTTTTCTTTGTGCATGACCACTGAAACAAATAAAAACTCTATGAAGAATTGACTACTGTTTACATATTTTTTTTATTTAAGGAATTAGCTTTTCATACGTTTTTATTAGCATTTCTTGTAACTATGGAAACAAATCTTAAATATTGCTAATTTTAACGCCATTCTAATGGTTGTACTGAAACGAAAACTTGTGTATTTTATAATAATCATATTGTTGATTTTTCTCAATTCTCTCTTCTCTGGAGTTTGTAATAATTTGGAAACCTATTTTACAAACAAGGACAAAGGTTATTTTCTCATATGTATAGACCTATAAATAGTTTAGTATATTATGTTTAGTTTGGATGACAAAACTATAATTTGGTACCTTGGAGCTGATCTGATTGTGGAGGCAGGAACAGTGTCGAGTTTGGGCCTATATGGTTTCTTTTGACTATAAAATATATAAGTAGAAATATACAATTTTAGTTCTACAATATATATTTGTGTTTATGTATGTATATATGACTGTACTTAGTTACTCTATTCTATTCTTCAGGTAATATTCGCCTATAAATTTTTAATTCACCTACTCCCATTTATTTCTACATTACTTTAGGCGGACTTAATACTAAAAGTATCATCTACCAGTTATGCACTACCTTATTGGCAGAGATTTCTTTTTTCTGTAAACACAACTCCCGCATTAGGAATATATGTCGCGCGGGGAATTTACAAACATACATGAAACGGACACCAAGAACACCCAGACTCAGAACATCAATTTGTGGATCACATAAAGTGTCGTCCAACGTGGGGTTTGAACCCACAACACTCGGCGTAGTAGGAAGCTGTGTGGCGACCGCTTAAACCACTACGCCATCCGTGCAGTCAAATTCTTTGTACACGTTGTACTAAAAGTGATAAAATGAATGAATAAAATATGTTGAATTTGACTGATGATGACGGAGACAGGAAGTGTTTAGTGGAACTCTTTTTGACCTTTTAATTATAACTAACAAGGTTTATTGTTAACGAAAAAAATAGGAACAAAACTATCCCTATCTTAAATTAAGTGATACTCGATATTCGACCATTGATATAGGTAGATTAAAATTAAACTCTATACGAAATTGAAATGCGTATATCGTTATTAATGAAAAAATGATTTTAGATAAGTGTGATCTGTATTTTAACCTTTTATGCGTTAATTGCGTTACATTCTTGTGTTAATTTATCTTTATTATATAATTTATTATGTACATATTATAAACGGGTGATTGGTGAAGATAAAGCGTGTATGTTGCACCTGTACGGATGATTAAAATAACTGTAAGTTAAATACTTAGTTGAAATAATGTTAATTAACTTATAAGAGAAAAATAATAATTAAAAAAAGTATTTCTATTTTTGCTATTGGTTTTTAAAATCGATTTAGTGTTTTACAAGGCTTGAAAGCGTAACAAATAAATATATTAACAAAAAAACGCTTTTTATATTTATAAGTATGGATAATATCTGTTTATTAGAAGAACAGTGAGTGTTGAATGGTTTCTTTGCTCTGCTCCTAAAGGTCCTAAAGCTAAAAGCTAGAAGCTAATTGCGCCTTCCTCCAGAATTATGTTAATTGTGAAAAAGGATTATTTCATATCCGATAGTAGCTTTTGCCTGCGGCTCCGCCCGCCTATATATCTTTAATCGCGGTAAAAAGTAGCCTATGTTACTGTACCGATAATGTAGCTTTCCACTGGTGAAAGAATTTTTAAAATCGGTTTAGTAGTTTAGGCTCGAAAGCTTCACAAACAAACTCACTTTCACATTGATAATATTATAAGTATGGATTTAGTTTCAGAGATAAGCGTGTGTATCCAAACAAACAAATTCTTCAGCTTTAGGTTGTTCAGACGAAAAGGGTAGTTCGCGCGTTTTGTTAAAGCACGGCAGCTGATAAACATATATTGGTAGAGATATATAACGCCCTTTAATTTTCTCTTCTTTCCAGCATTGTCTATGAATATAAATCAAAAAACGCGAGTTCGACGCGCGGTAAACGCCCGTCACCTGAACGTTTTTTTATATAGCTTTATATAGTAATATCAAAATATTATATCAACCGAGTAGTGTCTACTTACGACAGAGGGCATAAAGAGGGCGGAGCTTACGCGACAAATCACATCATAAAAGGGGATGCTGTGTAGAGGGATGGTTTTATGTTTTTTGGCACAGAAAAATACGCCTTATTAGGTGTGAGAATCTGTATAGCGGTACCTATTACATTTTAGTTATGTGTTATAGGGTAATAAAGTAGGTAGTAGGTAGAATACGCTATATACAGATATATTATAGAATAGTCTGGAACTATATCCAGCAGTGGACTATTAAAGACTGTTGATGATGATTCTGAAACTAAACTTGTAAGTCAAAATGAAAAAAAAAAAATTCAGTCATAGGACATTTTTGTTCTTTTTTTATTAGCTTTTATATAATTTTATTATATATATATAATATAGGGAGGCAAACAAGCAGATGGGTCACCTGATGGTAAGTGATTACCGCTGTCCATGGACACTCAGAACTTAAGAGTCATAAGTGCTTTGCCGCCCTTTGAGCCAGGATAGGGGGTTTGCCTCCATTTTCTTGTATTACTACCAAGGTTTCAATTTGAAAATATTAAAACCAGTATTGCCCAATGTGATTGACGGCAATAAACCTATTGTGTGTTATGTGAGTGGCATCAATTTTTTATAGCTACGACAAAATGTTTAATATAACCTCTGATTACCCCTAAGGGGGTAGAGGTGCACACATTTAAATATAGATAGTGAATCCTTAGTCTTAAAATATAATAAAAAATGAAAATTCTGAAAAAAAAAACGTTACATAAATTAGTCGGTGGTAATACTAAGATTTATGCCTAAATAATAATAACAGTCAATTTTTCCTATAGAAGAACAGTATACACATATAAACCATTGTTTAGGTGACATACAAACAGACGGTATGGCACACTTTATGGCCGAGCTGGCCAATTACCTCGTACCATGAGAGGCACCATGTGGACGCTAGAAATGTGATGTTATCGATATTTTTCGATAACGATAAGTTACAAGTCATTGGATTATTTATCGATGTTTATTATCACAATATTTTTGGTTTTTAATCTATGTATATTATGATGTTTATAAAATGTACCAGAGATTTTAGAAAAAGATTTTCTGCTGTTAAGTGTCAACTATGTTAACTGTGTCTGTAATTTATTATACTTCTTTCATTCATAAACAACTATGGTTTTGATGTACAATAATGTTTATTCAGATTCTTAATGCAATTTTCTAAGAAAATGTGATAACAAAAAGTGTCCTCATTGCCTAATGATCTTTTGTTTTGTGAGAATTATTGATATTTGTTTAATGGTTGTTCAAGATAAATTCATGAAAATTCAAACCTTTTCGATGCTTAGAAACTACTTTAAAATGTAAGAGAGAAGTCGGTAATATTTTTATATTATGATATATTACTATAAAGTACCAATATGTAATTTTAAAACATCTGAAATTATGGCACGCGTATAGATATAATTGTTTGATAAAGACAATAATATATTGTACCCTATGACAGGTACGAATGTAATAGCTTTAATAAAAATTGTAATTTCGTAGCATTACAATAATTACTCAATTATTTCTCATAACGATAAAATCTAACACTTTTATGGGAACTAATATTTATTAATTTACTCTTTAGGAATCCATTTACTAAGTAAACAGCACGGGAGTGGCTATAAATATGTACTAATAATGTTTTAAACAAGTTGTTCGTGTGTTTGAAAACATAGGTAATATTTCATCCAGGGGGGAAGTGTTCTCCCCTGGGATAGGGCCTGATTAGGCATGGTGTCAATTCGGGAAGGACCTGAAATAACATGGTCCACGTCCTCCCCAGAATAGGACACCTGAGGCCGGCCGTCGGGGTGGTTTTTAGTGGAATCACCACATACTCCTGGCTCACGAGGAGCAGGAGATAAGAAGGGATTTTCCCCCTGTCGACAAAAAAAAAAGGTAATATTTCATCCAGAAAAAGTTCGAAAGGGACGGAAATATTATTTGTACTCTATCTAGGTAATCTTATAATACATACATCGAAATAATTATAATACTTACGAACCGCCAACCTTAGTTCATTATTTCTTCTAGTTTTTTTTTTGGTTCACAAAGTTATTGTTTTGCGGCTCGATCAAGATAGCGAGCGCAGGCAATCGGATTTATCGATAATGTCCATTGGTACGTCACTAATCGAATGCGCGCGTTTTATCACCCTTTATAATCGTCACAACACTATGGGCCGTTTTTTGCTATAAATTGAAAATGAACACTGATGACAGAAACGGAGTTTAGTAAAACTCGTTAATGTTATTTTTTGTGTTTGTTGTGTTTTATTTATGGATTGAGATATTGAGTACATACTGTAATATTAATTTGATTTATGTATGTGAAATATGTGTTTTTTGAATTATATTTGGCTATTTGCAATGCTATTTCTGGTGACGGATTAAGAATACGGAGTGTCACCACCCCTAATCTTCCCGTGGGTGTCATAAGAGTCGACTAAGGGAGTAAACTACGCAGGAAAACAGCACTGCCAAGAGGAGGAAACCAACCATATACCAACCCGTCTGGCCAGCGTGGTATAGTAGGCCAAAACCTCCTTTCTAAGGAGAGGCCTATGTTCAGCAGTATATATAATATGTATAATTATATGTATGCATAAATATTTATGTATATATAAAGACTTATATATTGTGTGTATTAGAATCATTATTATTTATTGTATATGAACTTTTTATTAAAATATATTCTAATGTAATTTATTTAAGTACGCTGGGTATATCATATTCTATTTATGCTATATTTTTCATAAAATCACATTTTTAATTGATGTGTGCATCTACCATTTTTTAGCTCTGCATCGCCCTAAGGTCGACTGGGAGAAAATGCCTAAGGCATTAAGTCCGTTTTTGTCACATTTGTGCATAAAGT